GGTGAATAGTTTTGTCCATGTCGGTGAGGAGGGGCTAAGGGGAATGGGTGGCCGATTGCCTGTCGGATATACCGACTCCCCCTCTAACTCCGACACATCTAGGTCCCTGCCCAACCGGAGAGCTGTGGCACCAGCGAGCCGATTGATTTTGCTGACGGCTGGCGCTGCCTTGGACAATCCTGAGCCAAATTTATATGTATGTGAACGGGGTCTATCTTAACTGCAGTAGCCTTCTGCGAAATAGAACAAGAAAAGACGCCGCCCAGAGGGCTCCTACCGAATAGACAGAGTAAGGACGACTTTGTCTCCCAAATCGATGCTGCTCGCCGGGTTTTCTCAATCTTCCGATGGGTGCTGGGTTTTGCGCCCGGAAGATGAGCGAAGACTGGAGGTATTTGACCACCGTTGTCTGAGGACCATCTTTTGAGTGAAGTATACCGACTTCGTCTCGAATGAGACAGTCCGCAGTCGCTGTGACAGGATCGCGAGGATATCTTAGGCCATCCAAAAAGGGCGACTAAGGTTTTTTGGGCACGTTCTCCGTCGTCCGCCTCACGAGCTTTGCTACGCTGCTCTCGACTCGGTGCCGCAGCCCACCTGCAGGCGCCGAAGATGTAGACAACTTAAAACTTGACTCGATACCGTTCGTCAAGATATGCAAACAGTTCTTGGACCATTGATTTTCGGTATCCGTCGCTGAAGAAGAGGCTGGGTGGAACTTTCCAGATCCGCTGCAGCCAATCGTCACGTATGGAGAAGTACTGTCTGTAACATTTAAGCTGGCTAGCTAAGGCATGCTCACAGCCGAAACAAGTACAAGAGGGCTTCTGTCAAAGTTGTGTGGTATCATCAAGGAATCCCTATTTCTCTCAATGCAAAAGTGAATAAAGCGAGATCCCACCGGGCTGCAACGGGACGATCGTTGTTTTTTTTAGCAGGCAACTGATAACCTCTGCGCTAGTCCATCCATAGTGTGCGAACATTGGCGCTCTGATCATCTGGGAACCTCATACTCCCAGAGTTTGTTTACTGAGTCATATAGGCGCCTAAGAACGACTTGCTATCTTGCTTCTCTAGGTAATAGGCACATATATTTATATATGTTATTTATATATATTATTAGCGCTTTATACTCAGTTGTCTTCTGCTTTGCTTCCCCTTCACTGATAACTAAACATGCTTCCTTCCCCACAGCCACGTTTCTCAAGCGTAGAACCGAGCTACTCAAAATCGGTTGTTATACCCTTCGTCTTTCACTCCTAAGCTGATGTTGACAAATTTATTAAACACTGACAAGGTACAGTTCTGCGAATCCTGCAAACAAATTTCAGGACGAAATTTAACTGGGTAATCTAGCGTATATCTAGACAGGTTATTTTGCTCAACTGAGTGGATTTAATAATAAGAAGGGCTTTGGT